ATAGAGATTCTCCTATATTTGTTTCATAACCAGCCATTCACAAAAAGCTCTTTAACCTCTAACTGCAATGAAGATGGTAAGATTGGTTTTCAAAGAAACAATAAAAATGCTGAATTTTTGAAGTCTTTGGTTTAGTGAATTCAGCATTAACTGCACAAAATAATAAATACTTCTTGGTGATGAATATTTTCTCAACTTTCAAGGTGTTCCCAGTGTCACATTACGTAGTCTATTTAGATTTAAATGCATTATCTTTCACTTCCTTTCTGCCTACACATTTTCATATTTAGTAAGCACAGTTTTAATATCCAAACTTTGTATTTCAATATCTTTAACTGGAAAATGGGCATACTACGATTAGAGTTGAATATTGTGAGCTATCCTAATATTTTATGTAAACATCTACAGTTACACTTTTTGACAAAGTATCTTTCTCTCCAGGAATGAACCTTGAAGAGGCTCCTTCTCTCTCCTCACACAGCTGGCTACTTCTAGACATCCCTATTCCGGATGAAGCCCAGTGGCTGACAGTTCATTTTCGAGTTAATATAAAATTCATTTTAATGACAGTTGTATTTGGTAGACATGATAAAGCATCACTGGGATTTTTTTTAATAATCAGTTTCAAATGTGTTGGAGAAAAATATCTATTTTAAGTGTGGAGTTTGTGATCATATATAATTTGTTGGCCTCTAATAATAATTAAAAAAAAAAACAACTTACCAACTTCCTTTTAAATTGTGATTTCAAGCATTTGAGAAAATTCAATGTTATCAGCATTATCCATCTTTCTCTGATATTCTTAATAATCTCTTCTGTTAAATAAAATCTAATCCAAACTTTAAGATTTTATGTTATTATATTTAGAATTCTTTCCTTAATGAAAACTGGTAAACCTGGTATCTCATAAGCATTGAGTTTTTATTTTTCAAATCCATCTAATAATTAACTCATATCTCTTGGAGATTCCAAATTTATTTTAGAATATTTAAATTAGTAGAGATTATTTTCCTTAAAATACATGTGTCCAAAATTGTCTCTAACCACTTAATACAAACCTTGAGAGATCCTCCTGAATTTAAAAAAAAAAAAAAAATGCAATTCAACACAGAAAACAGACTTTACTGAAAAGTGCCATTTGAAAAAAAAGATCACTAGTGACAGAAGAGGTCATAAACTATTTCTAAGGATAAAACGTCTTATTTCCAGAGAAACCTAAAATTTCAGGGACTGAGCTGGGAATGATAGTGGTATCACTGAAGTTTCAAAACTAGATTAGAAGTGGAGACAAAGTCCACCAGTGTTTGAAGTGGAATGGCTGTAGTTGTTAATAGTTTCTGGTAAAAAGCATATCAGTTTGAAACATTCCAAATTATAAGAAGATGAAAGTTTTACATGTTTACACATTGATGGGCACGTTTCTAAAAGCAAAGCCTGTGTTTGTGTTTTTTCTGTGCGTTTGGAAAAAATATTTTAAAACTATACAATATGAAAATTTTTTGCTTTGCAGATTTTAATGCTTCCACGTTAATTTCTAAGAAGGATGGATAATTTTTTGAAACAAGGTGATTTAATGTGGTATATTGCTTTCTGCATGAATTCATTATTTACTATTAGTTTATACAAAGATAAGAAATTTGCCGGAAAGATCCGTAAAGTTGAAAAATATTAAGTTTAAGGTGATATATGATTTATAAAATAAAACCAAGATGTAAAAATTAAATAAACAAGAAGTTCACAAGGAGATTCCAAAAATTAGATAGGAAAAACAAGTTCTGACAGCAACAAAAGACAAATCTTTACTACTCAGTCTCATCAAAAGATAAGGGCTACAGGAAATTGGGATGCGACTGAAAAGAGCAACACACTAAAACTTGAACAGAGAACTCGAAAATGTCCTGCTGTATTAAGCAGGGCTCTTGTGGGCAATTAGAGAGTGGTCATCATGCCCGCCCTAACCACAGGCCTCCGCTCTCCAGAGGCAGAGACTTCCTTCCTCCCCCCACTGCGCCTGTGCCACTGAGCTGGCTCCCCCCCCCCGCCACCACCGCCCCCCCCTCACTGCCATGCTTCTGCCATGACTTGAGGTCTCTAGATGCACACACAGTAAAACACACATTCAAGAATCCTGCCAGATCCGTGGCATGATGTTGGGCCAGGCTTATGTTTCTCTCTCCCACAGATGCTGCAGTATTTTCAAAAACAGGGCCAGGCAAACCCCTCACTCTTCTGATTTCCTGTGAAGATCCAGCCTAATGGTGGCAAAAGAAGTCCACCCTCTGCACCACAGTTGTGTCATAAATAGTATCTGATTACAGATGTTACAGTTTACATTTTCTTTTGTTTTATGTTAAGAAAGAAAAAGAGCCCATTTTGAAAAGAAAAAAAAATGAGTTGACACAACAGATTGTGACAGATTTATTACTATTTATCATGGTAAATATGTATGGAAGAAAACATATAAATGTCTTTATCTAGTCATAATCACTCCAAAAGAAACCTTTTATTACCCGTAATTTTTTGTTATTTGTTATAAAACTATTCATACATATTTACACAAGTTTTAGGGGTATCTCTTATCAAATAAATATTCACAATTTTATTTGAGCTTAAAAAGAGGAAAAGCATAGCAGAGATCTAAAAACATAAAAAATATAGATCTACTGGGACAAAATGTTATAGGATCTAATATAAAGCACCTCTTTGGATCAAAATAAAATATATACTTTGGGTGGTGGTAAGGCATATAATCAATACATAAAACAAAAGTAAATTAAGCTAAACTAAACTAAACTAAACTAAACTAAACTGCTATTTAAACAGAGCTGAAAATTTTTTAAATAATGACAACATATAGGCGATAGGATTCGAAAATCAACCAAACTATCTTATTCTTCTGGATTAAAACAGAAAAACAAACCAAAAATAAATAAATAAATAACAAGGATACAATTTCCATTTCAATCAAATTCGTCTCCTTAACTTTCAAGAAAAGGGCTCTATTTACCAAAATGTTCCACGAGGACAATTAAAACATTCAGCCAAGATAAATTTTCCAAGAAGAACAAATCCTAAACTGACCACCCAAAACCAAAAATTAAATAATACAAGCTATATTTCCGATTCCATATTTATTAAGAAGAAAAGATACTTTTATATTTATCAACACATCAGCAACAAGTAAATTTTTTTAATAGCAGAGGAAAAACTATACCAGTGTAATTTCCTATAGTGACCAGTTCCCTCCAGGGAAATACTTGAACATTTACAACGAATTATGAGAAATTGTTGGGAACAATGATCAAGCAGATAGATAATATCCAGTGCCACGCCAAAGCACTCTTTAGAAACTGTGTAGATTTCTGCATTATTTTAGCACTGGGAGAAACAAACTAAATTTATCTGAATATGAGGCATAACAGAGTACTCTAGCTTTAATTTCTACATGGCTTTTATAACACAGAGCTATTCTATCATTTCAGAACATTCAAAGGTTCCCTTATTGTATTTAATACTGTCTGTATTAGGTTCAGGCATGTTTAAGATGTAAACAGCTGTGAGGACTATATCATTTGATGTTGTCATAAAAGCTATTAAAAGCTAAAGTTTCATCGACATTAAATCCACCAAAAACTTCGAGCTTATCAAAACCTGTGTCAATTTCAATACAACATAGAAAATCAAAAAATGAATTACTCAGTACATTTTTAAGTCATTTATCGGTAGTTCAAAGTGACTATTTTATATGCCTTGGAAGTTTATTTACACAATATTTTTCTATGTTTATGGATAATTTTGTGATGCCTCTTGAACATTCCCACGTCTATGATAATCAGCATACAAAATTTGTATTTTTTCCTGATAAGACTTATTTCAATATATTCGCTCAATAATTTTTTGGATGAGCTAAACTGAAATTAAGTCAAATGCACTGGTGTTTGGGTTAACGTAACTTTAGCACATTTGCAAAACCCATTATTTTGTAATTTATTAAAAGTGAAATAAAAAATTAAATAAAACTAATAAGCAAGTATTGATTAGTAATATATTTTCAGAAATCTGAATAAAATTTTATTTTAGAGAATAAGAACTTATAATAAAGCTCATTCAAATTCTTTTCAAATACTAGTGCCCCTACAGAACACAGAATAAAATTAAATTAAAATATCTCATGGGAAGGAAAGAAGAACAGAAAAAAAGAAGGAAGGAGAAAACAAAGAAAAAAGGGAGGAACTCATATATTTTTATTCTAAATAAGAAGAAAAATTATTAGAAATAGACCAGTTTTAAACAAAATTAAATAAAATTATCTAGCACCTCAAAGTTGAAAATATATATAAGAATCGAAAATAAGATACAAATTTAGTTGTAATCACAACCAGTGTTTGCTATGTTGGGGACCTGAGGTTCTCTCAGCCACTCTAGCATATAGCTCCAGCTATTAAAAAGACCCAGAATGCTTTTGGTTACAGCTGGATTCTTCTAGTTGTCACCTGGTATTCCAGACACAAATGGCTACTGATGCAGCTACCTCGCAGTCTTTATAACCTCTCTAGAAAATAGAGACATTCTTCCTGCACTCCGGGCTGAAACCCATGTAAATTTTTCCTAAATCCTCTCCACAAATCTCCTTTCGCATGCAAATCCATAAATCATCATAATACTGACAAAGAATTTAACCAACACATGAAACTAATACTCATTCTCTTGAAAGCTCTGTACAGGTAAAACTCCTGGAACTTCAGGCACCTTTTCAAGGCTCTCTTCAGAGCTTAACCTGCTGAGCGTCAACACAACCACGCAGACCTCCAGGATACGCCTCCCATTAATCACTCCAACGTGGGTCAGGTGGCTGGACGTGCGGGTCCGTTCTTCCTCACCCCCATTCTAGATAAACATGCTGCTCTGGGGCATGGAACCTCATTTACTCCTATCGCCCTCGCATCTCCCCAAACAGGACAAAATACACAATATACGAAGCAGAAACAAGCAGTACTTACTGAAGATGGCAAACCTGGAGGAACTTTGCGAACTTTCTTTGTCTGTACCTCTGAAAGAAAATGAAGAGGCTGTGAGCTCCTCGCATGCCCAATTTCCTAACTAAAGCAGATTAAACCACGAAACCATTTAGATTAGACCAGATTTTCCTAAATCGTTACCTAAGCAAAATGCCAGTACCACGATCATCTTTTATTCTGGCAGAAAGGAAATTCTACTTTTTTCATAAAAGTGAAGGTATTTAACTTTTTAATGCTTTCATCGTTCGAAAGGTTTTTTTCTAAGGGCAGCCAAGAGAACACAAGAAATAAGCGTATATCAAAATAGTTCTCCTGCTACTATAAATTGTTAACATACCCACCCAATGTACTACTGAGGGGGAGTCATGAGCCTGACAACTGAGCAAAAAAAAAATTTTTTTTTCTTTGTGGAGAGTGAGGGTAAGGTAAGAGGGTGGTGTTAAAAAAGCAAGCAAGCAAGCAAGCAAGCAAGCAAGAAAGAAAAAAGACTACTAATGATCACTCAGGCATTCAAACAGAGGGATACCTTACCCATGGCACTACTGTGAAGAGGCCTTCTTCGGGGGTTATTGCTAGAATACTGATAATACTGGGAACCAGGTTTGGTGGGCGAAAGGGTTCCTGGGTTGCCCATATCCATGTCACCTCCAAGGAGACTCTGCTAGAAAGGTTAAAAAAGGGAAAACAAACATATACGGTTATTTTTTCAGATTCGCCACCCCCCAACTGATTGTTAGTACTTAAACCAATGCAATAAAGAAAACAGCATCTGCTAAGCTGAAACAATTAAAACACAACAAAACTAAAAGAATAGCAGTCTAAGAAGCTGGCACAAGTTTGTGAATTTTTAATTCTTTACGTTTGAGAGGGAGATAGAAGGTGATCCCCTTTAGAGCAGTCTTTTAATCTTTTAAGACGACTAACATTTTAATTATACAAGAAAAGGGCGCTTATGTAAGACTAATGTTTTCTTCATATAGACTTAGGCTCCTGTCTGGGAAGTGCTCATGCCTTTCCTTAACAAGAACCAAGAAGGATCTGATATTTCGAACGCACACAACTTCGCCGGCTGCTCACGTTGAGGGTGAGTGTAGATGCTCAATCCACTGAGAACTCTGCCTCTGCATCGGCACAGCGAGATCCTCCACCAACTGACACGGCACCCACAGAACAGAAAATGCCAACTGAACCGGGAGGAAATTCAAATCCTCGCATTAACCTCCAAAATTATAGAAATAGGAGGCATTCTAAGCTAACAGGAACAAATTAAAGGACTTTAGAATGCCCTCTTGAGGACTGTCGGAGCCTAAAGCGCATCCCCACAGATTAAACATTTACCTGAACACTAGAAAACTTTCACAAATATCATTAACTTATCACGGTGTGACAAATTACCAAAACCTTCAAAAATGATGACATATGAAAGATTATATAATAATATTACATTTTCTAAAAACTACATAGAAACTTACCCATAACATATAAATCGCCTGATTATATTCTGCATTGAATACATTGTTCTTTTAATTATTCTGATTTATAAGAAAACAAGTGTAGATACTACCATTTATATTAAGAACAAATTTACTATTTAATAAAGAAATTTTAAAATTAAGTACTAAAAATCTAACTTTATCGTTACTTGTAATCAACTTTTACTGACTGAACTAATTACTGTCCTTGATAAAGTACAGAATGTGTTTTCCCTAATCTAAATTCTAATCACCATGTCACTCACAACAGACTTAGGGATGCTTCACTAACACACTATTCACATGCAAAATACTCTAAATAGGCCAATTATGACTCTGCCCCTGTTCCCTGGTTAACCCGCTGAGAACTGAAAAATTTCACAAGGCAGTCACCAACTAAAACAAAGGGTCCTTGTTTTAAATTAAGACAAGTCTTTTTGATTCCTAAATAGCTCAACAAAGTGGCATGTCTTCTAGTGAAAGCAGTTGGTCAAATATGACCCATAAGCTGGAAAATCAAAAATTCAAACCTCCCCTTTCCACCACCATATAACTAAATATCGTAAAGAGAATCTCTCCGTTCTGAGGGATATTTGTGAGTGCTGGATGAGTAATATATAAAGGACTAATCAGCTACTGACAAGCTTGCCTTCGTTGATTTCAGTTTAAGACTTTTTGAAGGGATACATAATAAACCTTAGTTTAAAATAATAAAACTTCAAGAATGAAATTTTAAGTTGGAAGTACATTTTGAGTAATAAACTCAAATTTGCAAGTATCTTAATATTTACCACATACATACCTAATAAAAACCCGATTATTTACCAGATAAAAATCTGACATCCACATGCTCAATTACTACCCCTTCCAAACTTAGGATGCCAAAATGATATGCAATGACAAACTAAAAATATAGAGCTCTTTATAATAAAGTTTTCTATAAATCAGGAATCCAACAGTATAACATCAAATGATTTCTCTGTCATTTTAAGAATGACATTCAAAAATTTTAGAATCTCAACCCAAAATTTCACTCTTAGTAGATCTTATTAACAAAGTCTATACTTGCTTAGGTTCAAATCTAAATTTTCTTTGAAATTTCCATCAATGAAACTGTAAATGATTTTAAATCACAACCTCCTTGTAATATGGTAAATCTACGAATGAGTCTTCATTTCATTGGAAAAAGGAGTTTGAAAAAGGTATTACTGATAACTTTTACTCTTTATTTTTAATGAAATTTATTGGGGTACCACTGGCTAATAGTGCTATATAAATTTCAGGTGTACAACTTTATACTATGGCATCTATATACTCCATGGGATGCTCAGGAAGCCCAGTTTCCTTCTCTCACCATATATTTGACCCCCTTTACCTTTTCTGTCCTCC